AAGAAGAAGAAGAAGAAGAAGAAGAAGAAGAAGAAGAAGAAGAAGAAGAAGAAGAAGAAGAAGAAGAATGAACAGAGGGAGAGGGAGAGGAAAACAAAGAAGAAGAATGTGTGCAAACTGGCAGGCTCAGTCGTGATGTGAGTCTATGTCTTGGCTCTTTCCCGGCGGGCGCCTATGATGATGGACTCACGCAGAAACGAATAGATGTAAAGAATGCTGTACTTTTTCCGCTAAATGCCAAGAAAGAGAAAAAAAAGGAAAGGAAAAGGGGGAATGTTTACGATGAATCAAGACGATGCAGTGTACACGGCGTACAAAGCTCAGTGATTGAAGGAAAGTGATTGGGCGTCTGCGATTCATTGGCGCGGAACCGCTTGGGTGTGGGTAAGGAAACTTTTGCGGCAACAAACACACGAGCCCTTTGTGTGTGACGAGCACGGTGCAGCGGGAGTTGTGTGACGCGGGTAACGGGAAAAAAACAATGCAAAAATAAGAGAATAGTTCAAGACAGGTGAGTAGAAAAGCAAGTTGATAATCTACTCGAAACCAATAATATATATAATGTAAAATCGCTAATAGCAGCAAGAATGTCCTCGCACTAGACTCCATCCTTAATTCCTTTCGGCCAAAAGTTCACCTACCTACTCCAGCAAGACAATAAACAGTGCCTCATTTTCAACAATCCCTTCCGTCTCTCCTACCCCAAAAATGTCCATCATCCGAAGCACAACGTGATGGTGAAAGAACATGTAACCCCATCTACCTCGCTCCCTTGGGCGAGCCGCTCTCCGCCACCTCTTCGTACTCGAGCTGCCACTGGTCCACCTCGCTAAACTTTCTTGTCGCGCGCTTCAGCTCGTCTATCGACTGGAAATCCGGCGGCCCGGCCGTCGTCGTCTCGCCAAACGTGTCGTCTGCGAGTGGCTGAAACTGGCTGTCACCTTCTTCTTCTTCCTCGTCCTCGTCCTCATCCGAGTGGTTTTCTTTATCCGAGGAGCGACGGCCATACGTCTTGTGCTTGGACGCGCTACGCGTGCGATGTGCCGGTGCGCTAGCCTGCTGCTTGGGACCACCAGAGGCAGACGCGGCTCTGCTCGGCGGACGAATGATGCGGCCGCCGCGTGTGCGCGTCTCATGCACCTCGTCTTCCTGCTCATGCTCCTCCTCCTCTGGTTCCTCTCCATCACCGCCATCATCACCCTCGTGGCGCGTCCGTTTGTGCTTTCGCTTGGGTAGTAGATTGGCTAGGTCCGCCGTAGTTAAAGCCTTGGGTTGGTGATGGTGGTGGTGCTCCCGCAGCGCCGCGCGGCCGCGGCCGCGGGCTTCAAAGTTAGGAGAGTGCGTCAGAGAGGGTGGTGATGAAATGTCGGACAGAATCTCGTCATCGTCGTCGTTGGCAGCGGCCCGCAGCGGCGTCGTAACCGACGGACGTCTACGACGCTTGGCCAGCGCGCGTATATCAGGCCAAACATCGCCTTCGTCCTCCGACCCGCTGCTGGCCGGCGGCGCGTTAATCTCATCCAAGTTAATCGGCGTCGTTGCCCGCTGACGGATCGGCGTGGACGGCGGCATTGGCGGCGACGAGGCCAGCTCCGAAATCTCGGAGTCACTGTCCGTCTCCGCCTCCATCCTCGTCGACTTGGCGGCGCGCTCTTCTGCCTCTGCCTCGCTCTTTCTCTTCCTCGTCGTCCTCGTCGTGCTTACATTCGCCGCCGAGACGTCTCTCCTCTGCGGGGCCACAGCACTGGTCGACGCCAAGCTCGCCCGCGTGCGACGCCTAGTATGCAGCGGCGTTGACTCGGCATCAGGCGCAAAATCCTCCTCCTCGCCCTCGCTCTCCAGCTCCGACTGCGCGCCGCGGCTCGACGTCTCTGAGCGAGGCCCCCGTCTGCGCGTGGTGCCCAGAATGCTAGGCTCCCTTGCGCGTCTCCGAAACGCGCCGATATTAAACGAAGACGTCAGCGCCGAGGTGTTGCCGGCACCGCCACGGCTGCTGGGACGGATCGGGGGGTCTTTGCGCCCGACAACACTCGACTGCCGCGAGCGCGGCTTAAACGTGCTCCAGGAGCGCGTCGTCGATGCGGATCGCGGTGCGTCCGGTATCTCCCCATCGGCGAAGCTGTCACCCAGATCCCCAAAGATGCTGTCGTCGGCGAGGTCCAGGCCCGTCGTGTCGCGGCGCATCGACGGCGTCTCGAGCGCGCGACGGCCGACCTCGACGGAGTCGACGCTGGTGTTGCGGATGGAGGAGGCGGGCGCGGCACGAGAAGGCCCTGCGGTAGAAGCGGCATCAACTGTCTCTTGTCGCTTGGAAGGGGCGGCGCGACGGCTGGTTCGTGTGCGGCCGCGGGTTGGTTGCTCAGTGTCGCTGGAGGCGGGCACGGTCGCCGCGGGGGCGTCGGCGGCCTGACGCGATCTCCGCGTGCGAGCCATTGTAGAAGTGACAAATTATGTGGCAATCGATGTAGTTGTGATATTGAAGATGTTTCGGGAGTTTTGACAAAGGGCCGTCAGTGGGAAATGATGTCGGCTGTGCGGAATTTGAATGTTGTGAGATTTTGATAGTGGTGAGGTTATTGGGAGCTCAACGAGCCAGTCGCGTCGCGACGCGTTTGGGAGCTGCTCCACTAAAAAGTTGATCTACTTGGCTGGCCACGCAAGATCCACATCCGGCGTTACTGAAGAATTGGAGAGTGAAGAAATAGACGAATCTTGATTGAATGTGAAAACTGATTTACTATCGATGGCTCACACTATTTCAAAACAGCCATGAGCATCCATGCTGAGAGAAGATGAAAAAGGTCTGAATTCTCGTGCATGGGATTGTATTCTGTTCCAAACGCCAGCAATGCAAAGCCTCAAATACTTCAACACCTTATAATATACATTAATTTTATTCTACAAGGGCCGCTCATATCAGCGTCTGGCCCTGGAACATGCTTCTCCTGACTTCGGCAACGATGTCACGACGATCATTGTTGCCTACAAGAACAATGCCGCGTCCACGACGGTTCATGCGGCCAGCACGACCCAAACGGTGGATAAAGTCAATAGTGGTATGCGGCACGTCATAGAGAATAACGTGACGCGTAGCGACAGTATCGATGCCCCGAGAGGCCAAGTCCGTAACAACGAGGACCTTGGAGCAAGAGAGCCAGCCGCGAGGCACGGCGGGGTCAGGCCGGGCGACGCGGAGAGGGCCGGGCTGGGTAAAGAGATTCAGAACCTCACCGTGCCGCTTCTCGGGTGTGTCACGGTGCAGGGCCTCGGCGTCGATGCCCTTGGAACGCAGGTAATCGGCCAGCTCCTCCGTCTTTTCGCGCTCGTTGACAAAAACGATGATGCGGCGCACGTCGACCTCATCCTTGTTCGTGCCGTCGTGATGGGTGGCCTCACGGCTAATAGTAAAGATAGTATCAGCGCAGGCGAGGTCCTTGTTGTTTCGGTACGGATCACGGGAGACGTCAATGACACCGAGCTGCACGCGGCGAGGAATGGCGTGCAGGTTGGGCGTCACGATGCGAACCATGTGGGGATAGTTGATGTGGAGATAGTTGTCAAGCTTCCTGGGAATGGTGGCCGAGCAGCAGATGAACTGCTTCAGGGATGGGTTGGCCCGATCGACAATGCTCATGGTGACGGGAGCAAAGCTTCGGTCAAAGAGAGAGTCGGCCTCGTCGACGATGAGATGAGTGACACGGGAGAGAATGTTGGGATCGGCGTCGGTCATGGCGCGGAGTAAGTGGGGTGTGGCGATGAGGATGTCGACACCCATGGGCGAGTACACGTTGCGCTGAATTTGTTGGGGCTTGAGATCAGAGGAGAGCATCTCCGTTTTGAACTTGACGGTATGGGAAATGGTCTTTGAGACGCGTAGAACTTGTTGGCAGAGCTCGGCAGTGGGGACCAGTATGATGACTTTGGGCCGGGCCATGGTGGGATGGGGTTCGTCAAAAGGCTTCAACTTTCCGCCACTTTCCTCTTGAAGCTTCTTCTCGGCCGCATGGCGTTGGTTCCAGTTGACAATGTCCGGGTCTTTGGCCTCGTCCATCTTGATGGCGTTGATGGCGGGCAGTAGGTACGCCAGCGTCTTGCCCGATCCTGTCTCGGCAGCGAGCAGAATCGAGGGTACTATTCTGTACCCTATGCTCGTCTCGGGTACCTTGCCCAGCTCGTTGATGCGTGAGTACCCCGTTGGGTTGGGTTGTTGCTTATCGCGCGCCATAATGGCGGGAATGCCCAGGCGCTGGACGGGCGTAGGGCGAATGTCTGTCATGCCCTTGAAGAGCTCCTCGTCGACGGCCTTTTGCACAGCGGGCAACAAGCCAAATTGGGTAAAAGATTCGATATCCTTCATGCGCCCCTTGTTTTCCGTCCGTGCCTCCCACGAGACAGGGGCGAGCGCGCGCTGCATCTTGAGGGCCTTTCGGTCGTCGACGATCTGGCGGCGGCCGCTGTTATTGTCGGCCGGCGTGCGGGGCTGTCGTCTGGGATCAATGTTGGCAACTCGCTTGTTCATGGCGCCAAAGGGTCCCGGTGCCTGGCGCTTGCGTCGGGCGTCATTGCCGGAGGTGGGGGACCGGCCGACGTTGTCGGACAGAACCATGCGCGAGGGGCGAGCATCGCGGCGCGTGGAGGCGAAGCGGACGCCATTGCGAGGTTGCAGTAAGGACTGCAGCGCAGGCCGCAGAGGCATAGTTACCCTGCCGGCGGAAAGGCCTGCTTTTGAAAGCAGGGGCTTCATGGCGGTGGTGCGCAGCAAGCTGTAGTGTTGATGGGTCGTGATGGCGCGGCAGGTATCCAGGAGAACATTTTCACTTTTCTTGCTAGCATCTGTCGTCTCCAAAAATTAGCGGGTACGTACCCTGGGGTGGCTGCCCAAAGAGGAAATGGATCAGTTGGGTGGTTGGGTGGTGTGTAATGGCAGTGATGGCACTGATGGGTGACGAGCTAGCTTTGAAGGAGGAGGTGGCAGTCGGCAGGGCAAGCCACACAATATCGATTTTAGATGGCAATTGGAGCATGCAGAATGTTTTGACATGGTGTAGACATTAACCGAGTTGCGTGGTAATGCCGTTGCGGTTTTTCATGCCTGGGTATTGAGGCGCAAGTGGTCTATGACGCTGAATGCTGGCATGGTTGCCCGTTGGGAAATGGTGGAGAAGACTCCACTGAATAGGCGATGGCTCCGAAAACAGGTATTGGGCGAGAAGTGCGATGCCAAAAGTTAAACCAGGTTGCTGCAGGAAAAGAGAGCCAATTAAAATCAAGGTTACATATGTATCTGTCGCCAAACGTAGAGGCGGTGTTTGCGCTTGGAGAGACCTCTTAGGAGGTGTACTGGTAATGGCTTATGCAGGCTGCGGACCAGCTGAGTGGCAAGGTGTCATTGGGCTGCGAATTGGGCGAGTCGAGGCCCTGTTTTCTAGGCTAGAAAGCCGCTGAAGTCCGTCAAAGGCCGCCGAGAGCCACAGTGAAGACGGAATTATTACAGCGTGGCTTGCCTAGAATTTAGCGCCCTCGAGCGTCGTCAGCTTCCTATTTGACCTTGGAAACTGAAACGATCTCAAATTCTGTGCTTGTTATGAGACTATTTGTATTATTTTCAATCATCGAGGTTCAAACACTTTAAATGCTGCAATTTTGGCCAGGCATGTATCTTGAAGCCGTTTTGAGTGGCTGAATTAGTGTCCTCCGCCCAACAGCCAAAACTGGGCGCCAATGCAGGCTATTCGCTCCCACGTTTGCGCCTCTATTCGCCTCAAATCCCAGCCAGACAGCTTTGAGGAGGCGGGAGGGGTACATATATCGACGTCAACCTAGGTATTTATATCTGGTACTACCTCATCCTTGATAGTGGCTTCTCCCCCAACCCTGCCCGCATCGATTCGCCCTGCAGACTCCCGCGCGACTGTTGAAAAGCCCCAACGTTCCACGAACCGCTGCACGTTCCTGTTTCTGCGCCTTGCATCCCGTCCCGAGACCAGCTCAGGAACGCTGCTTCTACGCTACCGCCCGTTTCAAACGACTCGCTTCTCCGTCGTTGTCCATCTTGATACCACCCGAGATACTCGCTTTCCCAATTCTCAAACTTCCCCACGCTCTCTCTGTCCGTGCACCCGGAACCGGCACCGTCTCCCGATTTACGCTGCACGTGCCTGCCCTCCTCTCTGCCCGTTTCGCCTGGTGTATTGCTCGAGCGCCTCCATGTCCCTCATCTAAAGCCCTCACTTCTACTTTCCATATCTTGCTCGTCAATACCTCAATCACTCTTCAAATTCATCCTCTTCTTCGCTCTTCATCGTTGGAGTCCACTTACAACCCAGAGACTATTCTACAACCCACCTGGTAGCCACCAGCAGCTCCGCCCACCTTCCACCCTTCATATTATGTGCTGGCTTTACATGCCCGTCACACCACCGTCATAGTCGGCAAGGACGTCGCTTCTCAACACAATTCTTCAATCTCTTCAAAGAGTAGCGAAATCACTTCCCAGGGTTGTCTGCGTGTCACAAAGCGCCTATATACATTTTTCTCGCCATGTCTCAACCAAACACCATTTCACACATCATCACATACAATGCTCCCTGCGAAAGCGGCTCCGTCTTCATAGCCGGAACCTTCTCGAAACCTGCCTGGCTTCTCCAAGAAATGCAACGCTCAGCGCCATCTGAAAACCCCAACACCCATTCCATTTCGGTCACAGTTGAGCCTGGAAAGGAATATCAGTACAGGTTCAAGTTAGGCAGAGAAGGACGTTGGGCTGTCGATGAGCAAAAACCGATTGGTAAGTCCATGGCCACCTTGGCAAAGGGCTAAAATTAAGTCTATTCAGTTAAGAGTGTCTTGGGGACCAAGAGCAATATTCTCCGAGTGAAGGAGCCTTCCAAACTCCCAAGCCGCAATGATTCCGTCAGCTTCACGGTCCCCCTCTTCGCCCATGAACGACTCGGCGCCTATACCCTTAGCGACGGCAGTGAAGCAGTCCAAGACACGGTTAGCGAGCTAGATCTGCAAAAGGAAACCTCACCCAGAACTGTGAATGACGCCCCGGTTGACTTGAACGACCCCACCCTCGAAATGTTTCCCTGCGACAAGTCGTCCATCATGGGCACCCTACGGAAAATCCAGTCCAGCCTCGGCGAGCAGCCCGTTGCTGCGGACGGGAACCGCACCGGCCGAAGAAGCAGTTCGGACTCGGATGACAGCTCCTCGGGCGCCGTGAGCCCTACTTCCTTTCGACGCAGGGAAAATCGACTGTCCAACGGCAGTAAACGCAATTCTTCTATCGCTTCGCTCGGCGCCATCGCAGAAGAACCTTCTGGCGGAATTCACAAACGCGAGCTTAGGAAAATTGCAGAAGCTTCCATGGGAGACTCTGGCGAAGCTCTCATGATGAAATCCTCCAAATGACAATAATCACGTCGCTGTGCCGTATATACCTAAAGAACGATTGGTTGGCGTTTTGTCCTTTTTGTGTAGTTGTAGCCCGCTCAGTTTATATCCCTTGGAATTAAATCGATACAGTTATTCTTATTGATTTAAAATTATGTGCAATGTAGTGGTTATTTGACTGTAGAACCGCTGTCTTCACTACAGTCACACGAGGTCACGGCGCTAATAAGTGTCACAAGCCGGATGACACAACTCCATCAACAGCATCTGAACAGGGCCAAACATCAAAACTGTTCACTGTTTGTCCAAAGCCACCGGGAAAACTTGTACAAGCATGAGCCCATTTCAAACTTTATCAAGACGTGGCGTTGCCGAGCCATGGACGACTTACAAGCGCAGGCAACCGTTGTTGACCCCACATGCCCGGACGATTCACTCCGCCCTGGCTGATTTTAGCCAACAACTTATTTCTAGAAACTCAACGACAAGTCACCCTTACGCCAAGAACCCCTATTTTCTCAAAAGCACGCTACAGACACGACATTGTTCATCTTTCGAAACCGCATCCAGTTCCAGCAGCTTCTGCGAGGCGACGACTCTCGCCATGTCGCTGCCACCCAACGTCATCCGCGTCAAGCGCAAGCGGGTGGAGGAATCGCCCGTCACTTTTCTCCGTACGTGCCTCTCCTGCCGCGGGGGCGCTGGCGAGGCGAGAGCACATGGCTGACCAAATGATTCCTCCTACTCGCAGAAATTGACCAAGGCGCGAAGCGACACCGCAGCGACAGCAGCCACTGGGTCTACCAACGACGAGGCGCGACGGCGCAGCAGCAGCGGCAACAGCAACAGCAGCCACAGTCGAAGCCCCAGATTCAGCTCTCAACGGCCAAAGACGATGCGGGCGATGCAGGCACACAAAATGCGGCGCCCCAGCAGCAGACACAGGACTCTAGGAAATTGGCACTAGCGGCGTCGTCTGAGCCGCGCCGCTTCCGCGTCTCCAAGGCGATGCTGGCCGCCGCCGCCGCCGCCGGGAGCGGTGGCGCTGCGGGAGCGGTTTCAAAAAGGGACAGATATGGCACGCCGACGCTGTTTGTAGAGCGCTCGAGACGGAAGAAGCTCGCGCCCAAGCCGCGGCGCAGCATGGTGTCCCTGCAGAGCCCGGACGGCGACGCGGCCGCGGCCAAGGACGTCGAGGTCAAGGCCCTCAAGCGGCCCGGCGTCGCGAGGCGAGCCCGCGAGGCCGCCAAGACGAAAGCGGCTTCCACCGACGACGACGGCGGCGATACTGCTGCGAAACCGACAACGAGTAGTGCTACCACTGCGACTGCGAACCCGCTTCCGCCGTCGCTGACGAATCGCGCCGCCGAAGACATGCGCAGGATAACCGCCGACATGAATGAGTGGGTGATGCGCGAGATGGGCGCCAACCTGCAGAGCATGGAGGAGGAGCGGAAACGAGTCGCCGCCGCCGCGCCGCTCGCGTCGCCGTCGCGGTTCAGGCCCAAGGCGCCGGCGCAGCGCTACCACGAGCGTCACCCCGAGGTGCCCGCGCCGGGCAGCCCCGCGGCCACGGCCACCGACGTGGAAGGCGACACCAACATGACGGACGCGAGCGAGGAGGAAGACGGTGACGACGATGACTGGGTGATTGAGGAGTATGTCCGCATCCCGGCAAACTCGGTGGCGCTAGACGTGGCGCCGTCAGATGTGGGCTTTTTGGTGCTCGACGGCGAGGAGGAGAGTCTACTGTTTTTTGGATCGCAGAATGACGAGGACGAGGACTGGGACGAGGATGAAGAAGATGAAAATGGTACGTTTATAGTTTCCTTTTGGTTTGATGCTCGGTCACGGATGAATGGCTAACGTTCTTTTGTGTTGTGTAGCGGAAAATCACTACACGGCGGACTATCCGGATGATGAAGTGGATTCGGAAGACGAGTTCAACCGCAACGCATACTACTTTCGTAACATGAATGCGTCGGATGATGAAGAGTACGACCAGGACGACTTTGACGAGGATGGGGACGCGCGCAGCGCAGACGGCGGGGGCGAGGATGACGATGCGCGCATGACGAGGATCTTGGAGCAGATGAAGAGATTAAAGGCATTGCAGAGATAGATGTATAAAAGGGCATGGGACATGGCGATTGGTGTATATGATGAATAATGTAGATTCTGATACATTGTCTTTGATCATTCATCATTCTGCGAACTGTGTAGCTGGCCCCCAAGCTTACATCTAAAACCAAAGACGTGCCAATTGTATCCATCATTCAGCATACTGCAAGTAGTCATGTACCGACGACTACCGAAAGGATCCAGGTTTTTATCGTCGAAAGCAAAGCAAGTTATTCCTTAGCGATGAAAAGATGGCAGTCTCCGTCAATGTGTTGTTTTCCTTCTTGAGCTGGCTTGCAATCTTCACTTGCAGACCTTGATGTTGGGAAACTCGCCCTGCTGCTTGCAGTGCTGGCCCTGGGGGCAGTCGGCGTCCGAGCGGCAGAGGCCGGCGACGGCGTTGGCCAGGACGAGGGTGAGGAGAGTCTTGAGCTGCATGTTGCTGAAGTTGTTGTTTTTTTGGTCTGAATGATTGAGACTTGTAGTGGTAAAGTTGTCTGCCAACGAAAGATGAAAAGTAGAGAGAAAGCAAAACTTGATGGAAGGGGGGTCTTTATAAGTTTGGGGCAGCCGGGATTTCAACTGTCTGCAAGTCCGTCTTGTCAATGGCTTGTGGTCTAATTTGATGTTACGTCAAGTTCAAGACTAGCAGATGAGTGGAAAGGGAGAGATGGGGAAGACCTCCATCCTATCAACAATGCCGTCGACTTAAAACCCTCCCAATGCCGGCACCCACGGTCAAGCCACTCCTACAAGTTCTTGTTTGGAGTAGGTAGGTGTACGACTGCCTTGAATGATCTCCTCTGCTAGTACTCGTCTCCTCTATCAGGTATCCTCGAAAGCAAGAGAGAAGAGGGAAAAAAATTGTCTGGTACAAAAGTCGCAAGCCCGTGTTGGCGGCGCCCATGTCAGCGTCGTCTAGACCGCAACAGGCAAGTGTTGTCAGCATCACGTCCAGCCACCGTATCACAGAACCCGTTCTATAGATTCTGTTCTATCTATTATACGTGTTCACTTATTATCAAGTGATTTGAAAAGGATGTTCGGCGGGTTTCCCGTTTCAGTCATTAGTGAATCCGAATTTGGATCCCCATAAGGCCGGTGGGACGAGGCGGGCTGAACGAACGAACGCTAGGTTGGCGCCTTGTATGGGGGGGTGAGGCGGGGATGATGATCTTTGTTTTTTTTTTTTTCCTTTTTTTTTCTTCTTTTTTTCAAGCTTTGTACATGCAATTATAGCACGGTCCACGAGTCGTCAAAGATGTTGTCATGTATTTATTCAAGCTTCATTTCATGTCGCGTTAAAAAGTGATCAGAGTGCCACAATAAAGTTTTAAACACAATTTGCACATTGCCATCGCCGCCTCATGCTTCGCAATGGCATCCTCGCATACAATTTCCTGTCCAAGTCGACACGCTTCTAGTGCCACTTCCACTACACACCACCCATCCACCCCTCGCTTTACGCCGAAATGCTGTCGTCTGCACGCTCCATTGCCTCCGTCTCTTCCATGGCCGCCTTGAGCGCCACGGGGTTTCGCGGGACAAAGAGCGCCCGGTAGCGCCGGGGCAGCGCGACGAGACTAGTCGGGTCCGCGTTGCCGCTGACGGGGTGGCAGTCGACATCGTCGAACTTTTCGATGCGGAAGCTATTGAGCAGGCGCATGTACACGAGGTACAGCTCGCGGTTCGCGAGAAGAGAGCCGGCGCACATGCGGTAGCCGACTCCGTAGGTAAAGAGCGGCGCGTCGGGCTGCTCATACCAGCGCTCTGGGCGGAAGACGTCGGGGTCGCTCCACACATTCGAGTCTATTCGGGGCAGATTTAGTTGACTTTCTTCGAATGATTTTAGCAGATTAAAAAAAAGAGTCAAGACGTACCCATATTACAGGCCCAGGCGTTGAGAAACAGTATGGAACCCTTGGGGATGGTGGCGGTTCCATAGGCGACATCTTTGATAGAGGCGCGTGGAAGTGCTAGCCGCAGCACAGTATAGTAGCGAAGAGACTCCTTGACCAAGGCTACGACGTATGGGCACTTTTGATCGTCCAGTTCGTCGCACATGGGAGTATCCTCGCCGTAGAATTTGCGAATCTCTTCGACAGCCTTATCTTGGATGTCAGGGTTCTGTGAGAGGAAAGCGACAAACCAGGCCACCTGCGTCGTGACCGTGTCCAGACCACCGGACAGCATGGTCAGGCTGATGGACGTCAGCTCTTCCTTGTTCAGCTTGGCCTCCTTGTCCATGATGACATTGGCCTGGATGCAGGGCTTATAAGTGCCGTTGGCGATGCGTTCGTCCAGGCCGTTGTTGAGGCGCGACAGGTACACATCACGACGGCGCCGCACTTCCCGCGCCTTGGCCGAGTGCGTGTTGATGGGATTGAGGCGCAGGATCGGGATGTAGTCTTGGAGGTTGCCCGTGGTGGAGCGGAAGCGGCTGATTTCCTCCTCGACGTGGGTAATTTCGTCAAAGAGGTTGTCCTTTTGGCTTTTGAGACGCACGCCCCAGTTGAGGGTCAGAGCGAGCGACAGCGATAGCCGCTGAATCATGGGCATGGGGTCCGTGGGAATCTTGCCGGCCTGGCCGTACTCGTAGAGCTCCTTGATAAAGTCGCGTGACTCAATGTCCAGATGGGGGACATACGTCTGGATAGAGGGCTTGTTCAACGCGGTGGCGGCACCTTTGCGGCGGCGCTTCAACGAGTCGCTGAACGGCGACGTACCGATTGTAGTACCGGCCGTGTCAGAGACGAGCTATGAGTTTATTCATCAGCGACGAGCACTTATCACGGAAGCTGTTGCGCATCATGGATCTTTTTGCAAACATACCTTGTGAAATGTGTAGAACTCGGGGCGAGAGCTCATGGCCTGGAGATTAAAGCCAAAAAGAGTCTTTGCTGCAGCGGCAGAGTTGATGACGACGACGGGAACATTGCCGAGCTGGATTTGATAGACTTCACCAAATGTTTTTGCCCACTCGCGATACTTTTCTGCTGCATTGACACGAATATCCCACATGTTTCCAATGATAGGTAGGCCTCGGGGCCCCTTTAACTGGCCTATGCGAGCATTGTAGCGGATGAGTTCATTGGCGATGATGTAGACAATGGGGGCAATGAACAAGGTAATGGCGAGCGCCTCCAGCGTGCCTCGACGACCATGGTCGGTAAGAAGCGCCAACAGATCTACGGTTCTGAGCATGACTGCGACAGTTTACTTTGCAGTCAACACTTTCCGAGTCTTGATAAACCCGAATGATATGCGATACGAAAGACGAGGCGGGCGACGGGCAGAAGAAATAGTATATTTCCCCCCCCCCCCTTCACAAGTATTACAATGACACATCAAGTGGTCGGTAGGTTGCAGCCAATCCCTTTCCGCCTTTTTGTCGCCCGCTGTCCCCCCTCCCCCCCCCCCCCCTTGCCACCCCGTTTGCCCATATGGCAGGTAAGCAAGCCACAAACTGGGACAAAATGGGACAAAAAGTGCGGCACGACGATCGTTTGTGCGGGGGAATTTGATGGGGGGCAGGGGCATCATCCTGACACAGGATAGATGGTGTTCCGTTGGAGGGCAAACTTGCCCCAGCGCGTGCCCAATTAGCCACTAAGCGTGACCAGACCAGATCACTAAGCGGAAACCTCGGAACACATCTTCCGCAAGAACCCGATCCGGACTTCCCTTTGACATCTACGAGAGAACAAAAAAGCACTGCAGCCCACTCTCTCTCGGAATCGCGCACCGCTTTTTGGAAATCATTGAACTGTGTTACTTTTTTACTCTTTTTCCTTTTCGTCCCCTTGCCATGCCTGCGTGAGGAATCTCGCGCAGCACCCCCCACTCCTTGATGGCAAAGACCGAGTCGCCGGCACGCAGCCCGGCTATGGGAGGAGTTGCCGAGTCATCGTCGGCGCCTCTTCCGAAGCGCAGCGCGCCGCCGACAGATACGACGGAATCGGCTCCGCGCATGAAGCGTGGGAAATACACATCGCTGGCCTGGTGAGCATTTCCGCCCATTTCCGTTTGGTGGAGAGACAGTTGAGAGACAGAGGAGGGGGGCAATTTGTCTGCTTTGATTGATCCGATCTTTTGCTGACAAGTGTGGTGCCCGTGCAGCAACGAGTGCAAGAGGCGAAAGCTCAAGTGCCTTCCGACGCATGATGGAGACAGCTGCGAGCGGTGCATTGCCCGCAAGCTCATGTGTATTTTTGCCGTCAACTCGCCCAAGGGCGATAAGAAACGAGATGAAGGGTACGTGGCCTTTTTTCCCCCTACCCCTGTCCCAGAATCCCCTCATGCAACCCTCCTCCCCCGTCCCCCTGTCTTGAGGGCAAATATGGGTGTTAACCGACCTTACGCGTAGAAACCAGATTCAGATCCTCGGCGATGAACTGGCGCAGGTCCGCCATGAGCTCGCCAATTTGTCCCAGGCCGTCTTTGAGCTCCGTCAGCACCGCTCGCCGCACGGTGGCGTCCAGGGCCTAACCTCTGCGTCACCGTCGAGCGTCCCCAACAGAGATGCGGTCCCCAAGCACCCGCAATTCATTGGCCCAACCCGCCCCGCGTACGGCCTCATGATTGCCGAGCGCTCGCTCACGCGCATGGGCATACCGGACTCGCCCTCGTCGCCGTCAGGCAGCGGCGCGGCCTCCCCGGAGCCTCCGCAAGCCACCGCAGCGGACCTGTCGACCGCCTCCTCCGCCGCCGTCGCCGCCGCCGTAGCCACCGACGTCGAGTTCTGGGCGCAGTGCTCGCCCGCCGAGGCGGCGCGCCTCATGGGTGTCTTTGAGGAGGAGGCCGAGTCAGTGTACCCGTACATTGAAATTCTCGAGCTGGCCGCCCGCTCGGAGCAGATCCTGCGCATCATCCGCCAGCCGGAGTTGCTCGAGGACGAGGCCCTGGCCGGTGCGAGCACCGGACGCGCGCTCACGGCGACGGATATCGACCTCGCAAAGATTGCGGTGGCGATTGGAATTGCCATTGAGGCGCGCGGAAAGAATGACTTGTGCGCCGCTATTGCGGCGTCTGTGGAGCAGAACACGGCGCGCATCTCGCAGAAAGAAGTGTCGCTCCGAGGCATCCAACTCCTCATCTCTCTAGTACGTGCAACCACGCAAACCCTTTTTTCTTCTTGACTTGATGCTTACAACCATCAGAGCATCTACTACTTTCACAGCGATGACGAGCTGCTGGCCTGGCGGACGATTGGCGTCGCTGCTCGCGAGGCTCTGGAAATGGGCCTCCACCGCAAAAGAAGCTTGTACGACAACTTTGCGGATCCAGCATCACGGCAAAGAGCGCTACGAGTATTCTGCTGCTGCTATATCCTGGATCGTAGATGGAGCTTCGGCACCAGCCTCTCGTTTGCTCTGGTAGACAGTGATATCGACCCTACACTACTCGAACTCGTAAGCCGCCATCACCCATCCACCATTCGTACGTGTTTGCTTACCATCTCCTTACTACTCAAAAGGAACTCGACTCGCCATATCTCAAGTGCATGGTAGGCTACGCTCAGCTGTGCTCCAAGCTATGGGCAGCCATTCCTCCGTTTGGCGCGCCTAGCCAGTCCATCCCTCACGAGCTCGCCTACGCGCTCGACGCGGCAGCGCTCGACTGGCTCGACTCGATCCCGCCGCACCTGCAGATGCGGCACTACCCGCGCGGCAGTGGCAGCTCCGGCGGCAACTCCGGACCATACCCAACATCACTCCGCACGCAGCAGCACCCCCAGCAGCAGCCGCGCGTGCTGCACCGCCTGCGCGCGCTGCTCTACCTCCGCGGCAACCTCACCCGCATCTCCATCTACCAGCACCACCTCATCAGCCCGGCCTCCGTGGCCGCTGACCCGGACCGCGCGCGCGTCGCCGTCGACCTTGCCCGCGACACGGTGCAGGTACTCGTGCACCTCAACGCCACGTCGGACATTTACTCGCGCCAGCAAAACGCCTTCAACTACTTCTTGGCGAGCGCCTTTGCCGTCATCTCGCTCGCGCTGTGCCACGCACCGCACATTTTTGCCGCACCCTGCACGCAGAGCTTCATGGACGCGGCCGGCCTCGTAAAGGGCTTTAGCCGCCACAGCATGGCGAGCAAGCGTCTGTGGAAGAGCATTCGCGGGCTGTCGCCGCGGCTCAAGAGCCTGGGCGTGGGCGGCGGTAATAGCGGCGGCAAGGAGCAACAGCAGCAGCAACAACAGCAGCAGCATCAGCAGCAACAGCAACAGCAACAGCAACAGCAACAGCAACAGCAGCAAATGGGGCCGGGTGGAGCTATAGGTAGAGGAGCCATGGTCGGTGTTGAACCCGGATCGGCTCGTTGGCGTGGCTATGGCCAAATGTACGCCGGCGACGGGCGGCAAGCGCCCGGCGGTGGCCAGTCGGCACCAGCGTCCGATAGTCTGTGGAACTATAGCCTGAAGCAGCCCGTCGCGAGCGCGGGGCAGTCAGTCTCTAGCAACAAGAACACCACCACTAACAGTAACAACAACAACAACAACAACAACAACAACAACAACAACACGGAGCCGCTGCCGGGCATGAATCCAGATATTCTCAGCTTGTTTGACTCGTTGGGAGACGAGGCCATGTTTAGCAGCGGCAGCTTCGACCCCAGTGTATACGGAGGCATGGAGGATGGCGAGGGTGGCGACATTTCCCGGCTTTTTCTTCAAGGACTCATGTAGCGTGGCGTTTGGGGGAAATACTTTTTTTTATTTAATGTGTTTAAATAGAGGCAATTGTGTATTTCATCAATCTGTACTTGTTATTGCTGTGGTTCTGTCTACCCGGCTGCATGTCGTTTGCGCAGTCATATGTATAGGCAATCATGTATTTTCTGTGCTTGTTATTACTTGGTGTTCTGCCCGTCTGGCTGCAGGACATCGACGCAGTTGTATGTGTTATGTAGTTCATTCTTTGTACTTGACATTGCTTCGGGTCCTTGTATTGTCATTTCATTCATCCTTATAGTACACGTAATCATGAATTGTCACAACGCCTTAATGCCCATTTGCCCCATTCGTGCCGTTGGCGCCATTCGCGCCGTTGGTACCATTAGCTCCTCCGTTTGCGGTGCAGCAGGACGAACCCTCAGTCAGCTTCGATCCAGTGTCTGCGCTAGACGGTACATCCAGGGCCGGGTTGCCGGTGTAGAAGTCGGACGGGGTAATGTGTACTTGAATGATTTCCACGGGCCTGCAGTCGGCGTTAGTCTATTGCACAAAAGAAAACATGACAACGATTGGGAAATAAAACTTACATGACGGGCCAGTCTTCGACACGCGGGTTGTGGGTTAGACCAAAGACGCTCCAGATGACAATGTCCTCGTCCTCGACATTGTCTTTACGGTCGGCAGCGTCACGCACGCCACCAACCTCGTTACGGCTCAGCAGGGTCCAGCGTCCACCAGCGTAGAGCTCGTCGTCCCTGTGCTTGGTGACCCAGAGGTGGTGGCGGGCAAAGTGGGCGCGGTTAGACTGAATGCTGCCGGGGGCGGCGAGCAGTAGCTGGGTGGGCGGGCCGGCAATCTTGTAGCCGACGGGCTTGCCGCTGACGGGATTCTTCTTGGCGCGGTTCTGGATCTTGAAGACGCGGTTGTCAAAGGGCGCGAGGTCGAGGCCTGCCGACTCCTTGATGACGGTCGACTTCACGTGGTAAAAATTGCCGTTGGGGTTGGTGGCGGCGTCGACGGCGGCGGGCAGGCTCTCTTCCTGCACCAGGGTGTTTGCGTGGCCGTCGAGAGCAGGGTCAAGGCGCAGGCAAAAGATGTGCTGGTGGTTCTGGGCAATGGTGCCCGGATTGACAATGTTGCCCCAGGGCGCCGTCTTGCCCTCGTCCATGTTGACGACGGAGACGATGCCGGTGGCGCGGGCCTCGAGGGTGATGCCGGCGGCCTGGTCGAGGATAAAGGCAAATACGTACTCGTAGTTGGCGAGGGTAAGGATGTACTGCACCACGAGCTCGCGGCGGCGCGTGACGACGGCGCGGCCGGTGCGCCAGTTGGTGTGCTTCCAGTTGATGCCGTTGTCCTGCTCGTGCAAGCAGACGACATTTTTAGAGGGAACCGGGGTGCCATCGGGATTAGTGAGCAGACCGTCAAAGTACTGGGAGTGCGTGGTGAGTTAAGTAATTCGGGAAGCGAAGAAGAGGGGATGTTACCTTGATGACGCCGAGACAATCGCAGCCGAGAGTGAGGTTGTTGACACAGTTGCCGAGGCCGCCATCGCCAAAGTCGAATGCCTGCTTGCGATGAAACGGCGGTCTGGGATCGGCATACGGGACAGTCTGAATATGTTAGATGTGCATGCCATGAAATGATGTGCGCCAAAGAGCTCACCATGTCACTCATGCTGATTCTGTACATGACACTGCGGCCGTCGTAGCGAACATCGTGAAGCACGGCGCCCTCACGCGGGTTAAAGGTGACACGAAAGCGCCATTTTTGCCACTCCACGAGGTTGTCGTCCGTAATGGCAAAGCTCGGGCCCTCGGGCTGCAGAACGGTGAGAGGTTTGACGTCCTTGCGGACGCCGCCAGGGAGCAGCTCGGGGACGTACTCGGCGGGGCGGCAGTGGTCCAAGACGCCGACCTTGTTGGTGACGCCGACGAGGCCGTCCTCGGCGCAGCCGGTGGCGGGCTGGTCGATGCGGACGAGCGTGCCGGTGCGGGCGTCGACGATGGGGATAAACGGCAGCGGGTAGGCGTAAAAGTTGGCGTCGGGGTTGCCGCTGCGGGTGTCACGGCCGAAGCAGAGGGCCTGGAAGAGGCGCGACTGGCCATCGGTGTCGTCGGGGCCGCCATAGGGCCAGGGTTCGACGACAAGCTCGAAGCCCTCGGGAAGGGTAACGGACTTGAGCTTTTCCTTGAACTCGGGGGATTCCTGCACGCACTTGACGACCTTGTCAAACTCGAAGCTGTTGTTTGATTGGTTAGCAGAGTATGGCTTGCATAGGCCAAGCAAGCCACAAGGAAGAAGGAGGGTGGGCGGACTCTCAACTTACATGCCCAGGCTGGCGTGGTACTTGCTGTCAATCATTTGGTTCACGGTGCGCTTGCCGGCGACGAGGTCCACGACGGACTCGTGGTACTGGGTGGCCGCATCGCCGCCAATGACGTCGTAGTTGAGCTGGGCGAGGCGCGGGGGACGCGGGGTGTCGGCGGTCAGGGTGCCGGCATGCTCGGCGTCGAGGAAGCGGACGACGTCGGCCTTGGGGGGCTCGAGCAGGTATATGACGCGAAAGTCGAGGACGGCGCCCGGGTGCAGCTTGAGGATGATGTCGCGAGCCTGCCGGACCTCGTCGGCGGAAAGGGCCGAGAGCGGATGCGGGGTGGCGGCCATGGCTCGATGTGTTTTTCTTTGCTTTTGTGTACTTGTACAATCGCTAGCTCACAACACCACAAAATGTGATTTGGAGAAGTGAGACAAAGAACACGGGTTGAAGATTTTTGACAATCCGGGTTGTGATGTTGTCTTTTTTAACATGACAGATCCGGGGTTCGCGTCAAGACGGGGGAGCTTCAAGGCCCCCGCGGGAACCCGTTTTTGAGGGGGGCGATTAGCTTTAGTGACAAGCGTCTGCGGAACTAGATTTCCAGCACCCAAGAGGCTATCTATCTATTGTGGGTTTATTTTATCGGACGAGACGGCTGGTTCATGTCAGCCATTGCACATTTGTGGTTTAGTAAGGTTTCCGAATCCGGGCAATGTTTTGCAACGCAGCTGTTGATAAATGGTTGCTTGCGGGGTTGAAGAAGATGGGGAAAGGGCATCATGGACTCTGGAACCGCTTTGGCGTCAGAGTCCTGATGCCACCCTAGTTGCTCTTGCATGACTTGAAACGTGTCCGTCCGTATCTTTGCTCGCTAAGCGGGCTTCTTTCGTTTCGCGGGAAAAGCTGTGGATGGACGTGGTTTAGTGTCAAAGCTTTCCATTTCAATCATAAATTGCCAGCATGGCCAAGAAGGACGAGAAGAAGAGAGGATAGGGAGGAAGAGGGCAAGAAGAAGCCAACACGCTCTGCGCTCTCAGAGACCGGAGTCGTCGGGCGCATTATCCATTGTCCGACGCCGCACATGGGCATGTGCCGACTGAGACAATCGAGGGATGGTCCCCCCTTCCCCAGGTCGCCGATGTAACTTGCAGTTCAAAACGCACCGACGCAAAAAGAAAGCCATCTGCCGACTGGACGAGACCTGGCTCGCGTCAAGAACGGGCTGCAGGAAGAAAGGCAAAAACAGCCCCCCCCTGTTAAGCGTCCCGGAATTCCGTCATTCCGCCAAGCAAGCTCCCATGACAGTTCCTACTCTCCGTCATCTGTGATACAACGTACATTGACAACGGCCGAGATGCATCAAAAAAAGAAAGATTAGCAAGAATTAGAAATCAGAAAAAAAGAAAAGAAACGCGGCCCGCTCCCTCCCCGCTCGAAAGTGCTCGGAAGTGTCATCCGCTGAACATTTTTATCTGCAGTGTGATTCCGACGACCGTCACGCCCGCAAGGTCAGCCTCTGGCGTTTCGTCCCTTGTCCTCCCCCCCCTTTCCCCCTCCTCCGTTCTCCCCACGCTCATCCTTGTGATGTTATTGAACAATCTACGGGCATCAATGCATACAACGGGCAAATTCACAAGATCTTCTTGACCGTTTTGTATCAAGACGTTGCCACGCTCACCAATTTCGAGAATGCTACCATCCTGAACCCCCCACCCCCTTCCCCCTCTTCCCCCCTTGGCTTACTAACAATTGGACAGCGAGCACGATCGGGCATCACTTCGTTTTCCTTTCCTCTCTGCCGAGCCCTTTTGCTTACTAGGTAATAGGCACCTTGCTATCACAGTGCGCGGCATTCTCTCTCTTTTTCGCTAAACACATTCCAATTCAATTTCCCGAATGACGACGACCACCAACCCCTGTCGAGATCCGCCTTCCGGACGTGCCCGCGACGTTGTCTCTTTCTCTGGGATCAACACTACAGTGTTTTATTTTTATTTTTATCTTCTTCTTCGCACATCTGCCGAACTACGAAACCCCAGTGGTCGTCACTAATAACACGTCTCAGCTGCCGTAGACTTTTGGTTCACCATGCACATCTTCAGCAGCCAATGGTGATCCTTGACGCCTGAGACATGTTTCTTCTTCACTTTACTTCATTTTCAGCCCTCTTTTTCTTCTTCTCGCTCTCTTTACCCCATCATAGGTGACGGCGTTTTCGCGTGGCGTTTTTTTTTTCTTTCTCCTCGTGTGGTGCCCTCCCCGCTCATCGCTGCAGAAAACCAGATTACCCTTTTCAACCCTTGTCCGCGACAAGAAGCAAAAAAAACGCCATCCGCACGGACATATGATACAAGTCCTTTTTCTTTTTGTCTCATTGATGATAGGTATGACTGGGGCAAAAGAAGAAGAAGAAAAGACGCCCACACAACTCCGTACTCGGCGAAGCAATGATTGGCCGCTCGTATCAATTTTATATTGCCTGTGAGTCGTGCAGATACATTCCGCAGCCACGCAGCCCAGGCTGCCGGGTCCGGTCCCCGAGAGGAGAAGGAGGAGGGAGCGAGACAACAAGCAAAAGAAGCTAGCCCTTGGATGCAGCCCGGTTCGTCAATATGCGGTGGGTTCTCTTCGTCCAAGACCTTGACTCTGTTTTTGTTGAAGACTATGTCTCTTCACAGAGACGAAACGAAAGGAGACTTGAAAAAGGAAAACAGGTTACTGGTACGTTGGTGTCGACATGGGTGACGTGCTTTAACTGTTCTGTTTTACACTAGCCAAAAGCCGTTGCAAAGGTAAACTGCCGCAAGACGCGCTAGCATCTGGGAGCCATCTCAATGTACCCGTAAGTACTGTAATAAGCCCCCTCACTTGACCAAATCAAGCAAACATACTTTGTACGGTAGATGCTTCGCAGAAGCTTGCTACCACCTGACCATGTGCCTTGCAGCGGCTTTCGATGGTTATCATCTATCCACCGCCTGCTTGTCCGCTGATCGAATTTTTGAAAACAGGGGTCACAGCCCCAAGAGCCCCTTCGCCCCTTTCTCTGTCAGATTGGGTTTCCAGGACTGCGTCAATTCTCTGCCGAGTGGCGAGGCAGTTGCCTAGCACGGCAACTCGTTCTACTCTCGGTTTCGTTTTAATTCTGCTGAGCGTCTCCGTGGCCATTGATGCCCAAATCTACCCGTTCAGTGCTCTCTCTCTCTCTCGCTCCTCGAAGCAAGAGAACACAGCATTACAACCAAGAAACTTGTAAGGTTCGTCGCTTCTTTATTCTCGTAGAAAAAGAAAAGACGGAGAAAAAGAAGGAAAAGAGAAGAGAGCAACTGCCATCCATTCATTCCCATTCCTTAAACGCTAGTGCATCGAGCGAGTGCCGAGTTCAGACACATCCACCCACGGTAAGTAGCTTTTCCTTGGTATCGGGCGGCCAACACCTCTTCCGTCTCCCCCTCCTCCTCCTTTCTCACGCCCCCCTGCAAATGCTGTTCCAACTCTGCCGGCATCTTTCCTAGGCACCAGTTAGGCAACGCAAAACTAGGTACAAAGTTTCCGTACCTTTACAAACCACCCGGCTCACGTCACATCTCTCCCAACTAAAAGGAGGGGGTGTGCCCAGCGGCCCGGGCCCGGCCTTCCTTGCCCCCCTCCCCCCCCTGGTTCAGCACGGATGTTATCTCTTGTCGCCCAGCGCTAAAATTATACCTTGCATGTCAAATCCCAGTCGGGTTGTGGCCCCAGATTTCATCATTGTTTCAATTTTCCAATCATCTCGAAAACCTTCATCGCGCATATGGTGATTCGCCGCCAGAGTATTGCCGCAGCTGCGCCTCTCCTCTTCGTGCATATGCAAATCCAATGATTCTTGAGCATTTGTATTGTAGATAGATTGCATCTCTCTCTTTCCCTTTTTTATCTCTCTTTCTTTTGGGCTTCCTCTCGTGCCCTCACACAAATACACAGTTGACGTTGCACAAAGCAAGGCCAGGAGACGCAGGTGACAAAAAGAAAGTATACCAAACGGATTCACCCAAGGGAACCCTACACCTCTTCTCTCGCTCTCTCGCTCTCTCTTGTACCAGTAAAAAGCCTTTCGAGCATCATGCAGCCGTTTCGGACCGTAGCCAATGCCTCGTTTCCATGCAACAACGCAAGCCACTGCATTCTGCCGCATCCTGCCGCATCCTTCTTCCCGATGCCAGTAATTTACTGATCTGTATTTCCGTTTCATGCAGTGGCAGCATCGGCGATTTACTCTACTTCGTATTAATACTGTGAATACCACGGACCTTTACCGGAAAATGACCGAGTACATCAACCTCGTCAGTAGTGAACCTTCTCTTCATAATCTTTATCCGATTAAGCTATATCATATAAATCTCTCGCACAGATAGCATTACATCAAATCTACATCTCGGAGATTTCATTTTGATTTCCTTCCGTTTTGTTTCTTACAGGCTGAACAGCCAAGGCTAAAATAATTAAATTGCTTACATCACACGTCCAACATTAGTCAGTCCAGATGCTATTCGCATCATGCGTTTCATCCCGTTCCAGAAAATAAAAAAAAAATAAAAACTTTTCTTCCCTGAATGGAAAGGCAGTGCCAACCCTCCAGAAAAAGTAACAAGAAGAAATTCAAATCACCCCGCTAGTTATAATACACAATGTTTTGGAGACAGAGCTTCTGGAGGGGGAGAGAAGAGATCGCCCCGTCGTCGCAAGGGAGAAGAACTTCTGGGGTCGGTCCACTTCGTGCACCAGGTCAACCCCCTGCAGGCCGCTCAAGACGACTCGAGGCTTAACTGAAGCCAGAGTTTCTTGAAAGTCAAGGATTGTAAGAAAGGAAAAAAAAAAAGGAAAATAATGTACAAGCGAAAATTTTGGTACATTGAGCTCGTAAAGAATGTCGTGGTTGCCAAAGCAGGCAGCCGTTTATAGCTTCAGTCGGCGCTGCTCCTTTCTTTTGCGGCGCTCCCGACGGTCGCGGCATTGCATGATGCGTTTGGCAGCTGTTAAAAGTGTTAGTTAGCATTTGCCGTTGTCTCGTATGCCTTCATGCCAAATGCTAGTAGAGACTTACCCCAGTCGCGGGATTTGCGCTTGACTTCCGGGTCCACCCAACTGTAGTTAATAGCTCGCTCAGGGTATCGTTGAGCCAGGCCCAGGGGTTCCATAGGACGGTCTTGGCTGTCGCGCTCACGGCACTTGATGCTGATGTGCTTAGGCTCCAAATCTTCATCATTTTCAAAGATCAGCCAGCCATCCTTATCCCATAGTGGGATACGCTGGTTCATTCGGTAGTACCAGGCCTGCAGGCCCTGAACGGTACGCTCTGGTGTCCTTCCAAACATCGAGGCAAAGTCTTGCTTGATGCGTTGCCATTTCAGCTTCTTATCGTGCCAAGCGTAGATGATAAAGTCTCCCTCTTCAGTCGTGTACTTTTGGTTGATGTGTCTGTTCTCGCCCTCCGGAGGCGGGCTGGGGTAGCCATCGAGTGCGTGCATCAGATAATCACCATGGCCATAGAAAGAGTACGTCTCTTCAGGAGAGCACGCCTGGGGCGAATGCACTGGCGAAGCATAGGATTGAATTGATGGCAGACGCTGAGTATGAATTGGGCGGCAGGCAGCGGCGGTGGTGGTGCTGGGGTGGGGAGAGGTAGCAGGAGTCCAAGAGGGAACTGGGCCGCCATGTGCTCTAGCAAGAGCCTCTACACCCTGATCAAACTCGTCGAGGCTAGGCAGACGAATATTCGAAAAGGAACGAGTTCCAAGATTCGAAAGTCTGGGGATAGGTGAGCAATCTGTGTTGAGAGACAAAGACGATCCTGGAGAGCTATTAGTCGAGAACCGGGACTCGCGATTAATCAAAGGCGGCATACTCTCAAACTTGATTCTAGGGCTTCCCGAAACGGACTCTGGAGGTGTGTCGGGATGAACGATTGATCGGTACATTGGCGAGGAATAAGCATCGTCGGAGAACTTCCTGGGCGTCGAGTTGTCGATGTGAGTAATGGGGTTCGTGCGGAACTTGCCGACAGAGAGGCCGCTATACTCCGGAAGCTGCAGCATCGTAGAACTCATGATTGATGGCAATTGGTCAAAATCTCCTGTTGCTTCACCAAAGGCGTATTTTGATATTGTTTGGACGGAGTATATTGGCCTTCAAGGAGGGCAGGGTGCAATAATGCCTATCGAGCCGCGTGGCGCTTGTGTAGATGGGGTAAAGGAGCGTGAGAGGGAGGAATAGTAGATTTCCAGATATTAACGAGGGATAGTGAGCTCAAGGGCTGACAGCGAAAAAAGACCAAAGGCTTTAATAAAGAAGGACGGATAAGGTTGTGGAGGAAAGGATAGCACGGGAGAGACTGGGTCTGAGATGGAGAGGGAGTCGACGTGTTTTGTAGCCAAGGATATGTACGGGGGTATAGAGGTTGTCGAGACGAACCCCTGGTGATGGTCAACATCTGATGGCTTTTTTTTTCTTATTTTTCATCCTTATGCAGGCTTGTTTCTTCTGCCGGTGCCGCCAACATGGGCGTACCTGAATCACTGTTGATGAAAGACCAGGACAGGTAGATAAATTGGGTGTCTTGGATACCACAAGGGGTCTGTGTGTCACCCTTGCTCCAGTCTGAACAAGACGGGACCAAGCCGACCAGGCAAGCCAACCAAGTTCAGTCCCAGACTCTACCAGTTCTCCATATTGTGCTAAGGAACCTGGTTCAACTGGTCAAACCCAACCAGGGCTAAAGAGAGCCACAGAGCCTGATGGACCAGTGATGGCTGCCGAGGCGGAGTCGCAGTGGGCATGTAGACGATGGTGGGCCATTGTACTTTAGAATTGACAGGTATCCGTAGTGGTTGACGGTACCTGCGGCGTCCATAGCAGGGGTTCAACGATTGGTGCGGGAGAGGTTACCACAAGCCTACTCCCTGGCTGTGCCGTTGTTGCTTTTGTTTCCGTGCAGATGCAGGTCCATAATGATGGAGGAGGTGTGTGATATGGCGGAGTGGCGGTCCTGCTTGAGTGGGCTGCTGCTTCGTAGGACCTGGCGACTTCTCGGCGCACAGCACACCACCAGCATCATCATCATCATCATCATCACCACCACCACATCTGCGGTCTTGGACGCGCACAAAGTCTGCAAATAACCTCTTCAGGTGTTTCCGAAATTACAGCACCGTAATGTCTGTTGTCACTCAATCATTACAGCCACGCCTCGGGTGCTCTCCACCGACCCTACCAGCCTAGCGGCGAAGTGGTGGGGACACTGGCTGCAGGGCGAACACTGGCTGAGCTGCTGAATCCAAGTCAGAGCTTCTCCCCCAGACGGCTTGGTATCGTTGGCCGAGTCTCTGTTCTATTGCCCTTCTCCGAGCAAAGTTCCAGTGCTGAAAATAGGATCCCGGTCACTTACCCGAGGCAAATCGCCGACAGAGGTCTTGACAAGGTTCTGCTGTCCCGATGAGTGGTCTGGTATAATATGTGTCACCTTTTGTTGCGCAGCCCACGGATATGCGCTTCAATCATAAACATGATGTCAAATCATCGGTACATCAGGCTTTCAAAGAACTCGCTAGCAGGGTGCGAGCCCCAGTGCGGTTGCCTGGTTCCTGAAAAGTCGTCAGACCATCCGTCTGCAAAGGATAGCTGTCACAGCCCCAAGGCAATAATAACGCTGGTGTTATACGTAAAATGAGGAGAAATTTTTAGTAACATCGGTGCTCCGCTCTCGGGTGGTCATGATTAATCGTATTATTCCAGTCCTTCACGCTTACCGTTGAATAGATCCGCTGTCTGCAGCACCTTGGCGCGTTGAAAACCCCGTACGACACAGGTCATATTACAGAAAGGGCCCGAGCACTCGCACAAAGCAAGCATCAAATATCAGCGGGAGCAGCGAACGAACTGCGGGGTCAGCTATCGTCGAGATCCCCTCTTGCTGCTATTGCTGATCAAGAGTGATCGTCGGAGGGGACCTATGGCGAGGGATGTTGTGTCGCGGCACCACCAGTGCTGTAGTGAGGAGCCAAAGGGGAAAAAAGGGCAGTCCGGCATGCAACAGGACCGGACGCTCAGTGTGACCAAAGTTCCCCGCGAGGTCTATGTCCAGACTTGCTTTTGCTTCGCAGCCAAGTATAACTACTGACTAGTTCATTGAGTGTCTGATGTGCCACACATTTTGGGGCGAAAAAGGGTGTGCAACACCTAACGAGATGGTGGAGGCGAGGGCGAAGAACGGACGAGAATAGAAAGGATCAATCGTGCCCTGCTCGAAGAGAGAGATGAAGTGCTATCAAGATGCATTGCGTCAGCTCAACAGGACCTTTTTTCTTTTGCTGGCTGTGACGAAAGCAAAACACGTCGCCGCCTGCAAAGGAGCGTTTTGCGTCCGACATTCGCGGCAGGAACGGATGCTCTGGCACTGCTTCATCAATTTGCTCCGGCCAGTGCTTTCCTTTTTCCCGCTGGGGCTCTCTTGATGATGCACCATTTGAGTGAGATGACGGAGCAAGAATGCTTGCGCAACACCAGCATTGCTTTTGCAACAGCTGTGAGGCATGAAGGCGGGGAAAAGTTGTACCTGAGGCGGCCTCTGGCTGGGCGGCCAGCAGGGCGAAAAAGGAAATAAAGAAAAGACGCTAGCCCATATCGGGCTTAGTTCTCAGGTGTTCGCTTGCGCCAGCTGGGGCCCGTTTGACGCCTGTCGAGGAGCTATGACCATCCTGCCAGCTGCCGCCCGAATTCACCGGCTGGCACTTGGCAGGCTGTTTTGACTGCATCTTACTACGTACTCTGATCCTACACACAGACACCTGCAAATCCAGCTTTTTCTTTTGTTATACCAAGAAATCCCCATCGCTCTGGTCCTCAAAGTCGACGGCAACCCGTCAACGACTGAAATTTCTTCTTTTAACACTGCCTTCTGTCCGAGTGCCCGTGTTTCAGATGCCAGCCAGTACTCCCTCCCCAGCCTATGGTTGAGTGTCGTCGAGCATATCAAACGCCCACCACGCCCGAGCACCATCTTCGTCTAGGAAAGATGATCCTCACACTTATACCGTACCGACGGCACATTCCGTTTTTTACTTGCTTATTTCGCTTTCTTTTTCTGATTGTCCCTTGGATTGGCTAACCTCATCTTCATCAACACCTCATCCTGCAGCGGCTGGCTGCCACTTTGCGGGGCGTTGTGTGTCCATAAGAATTGCGCAAGCCGCATCGAATCGAGGAGTACTGTGTCTTCTCGTTACTGAAATCTCACAAGACTACGCAGTAGCTCTGTGGAAACTATCCTCCTTTCTTTTTCTCGTTGCCCTGCCTCGTCATGGTGCAAGGCTACTGCAGAGGCCGAGACCTTAGTCAAAAACTGTTCCTGTGTCCGGCTCTGAATAAGAAAGCTGTTTCCGCAGGTATTCCCTTCTAGCAGCTCCCGAAGCTAACCCTAATTCGTGCAGAGGCGGGCATCTAAATGGCACTCCTTCCTGTACACCGACGGAGGTTTCTTGGCTGCGAACTAATGGCCTCATGCAGCCACAAGAATCACTTGCGAGACCACGAATTTCTTCTCAGATCCTGTGGTATTCTGTCGACACAATTGACACAGTTGCGATGCGCTAGGTGTGAATCCATCTGTGCATGCGCAGTGATGCCACCACCAGTTGCCATTTTCGAAATCGGTGGCAATAGCGTTGTTCCAATGACCACTCATGATCTCCGAGTGAACAACTTATATGATCAAGTCTGTGTAGCTTGATTTAGGACGATACTAACTATCTGCTGAGTACCTACCATTCGAGCAGTTTCCAAGCCTCTTCGTGGCCGAGCTTGCCTCGCCCCGCGTCCTCGTCAACTGAGTCGCGTTGGCTGTTTTGATCCAGCAGTGATGCCATCAAGACACAGAGGCCCTCTTTGATGCTTACATTTCCACAAGATCTCTACAGATTCCCGTTTTTTCTTGCTTGAACTATGCAAGGTACCGGTCGTGCCAATCTCGCTGGCGATGCAAGGGAGCCCGACATCCACCGTGTACCATTAAGTGGTCCACCATATGCACAAAACAGGTCATGGAATGGCTTTTGCCACCACAAGATCACCGAGTTAGTCGCCTGCCCACCTGAGCGGCAGCGCTTCTCAGCTAGATTCAGCAGTGCTGCCATTGAAATATTTGCGCCGGTTTCCCAAAGCGGCTGCGCGGGTCCTGCCCGGGGCCTGGTGCCATTAAAACTGTTTATAACACGAGCCTCATGCAGCATAAGATGAGCTTTTTCAGTAAGCCTTGCACCTTGAAAGCGTGACTGCATTGGCTACAAAGCTTCATCATCCGTGTCCTCTGTTGATATGAACGGCCTAACTAGGGGCTAGCCCAGCACTGTCTTGGCCACTGAGAGACAATGGTCGAGTTTTTTTTTTTCCAGATCCAAAGAGGAGATTAAATCTTGTTTTGACCATATCAACGGACTGGTTGCACCTGCTCCGCCACGGGTTCGTTGAACTGATCCGACGGCAAACCTGGTTCCAGAAGTGACTTTGCCTTGTGAGCAAAACACGGCCCACGTCCCGAAAGGAACCATCTGGTTCTATCCCTTGCGCAGGTCTCATCCGGACTGTGTTCACTCCGGCAAGGGGGCGGGGATCTCTTTGCCATCAAGCTATTGCCGTCCCAAATTTGAATGCTAGATCAGCATGGCCTAGCCAAAATCCCACACTGGCGCCACATTACAGCCTAATTTTCCGGCGGTGCGAGTGACCCTTCCCTCATATAAGCTAGGCTTTTCTCCGTCAACTCAGTGGCTAAGTGAGGCGCTCATACTCGTTACTGTCTACTGCGAGAGCCGGGAGTGTCAGCCAATCTCAGACAATGTCTAGAGATTAATGTACCCGTGTGAATAATGATCGAGTCCGCCCGCACCAATTGGAGAAGTCGAATGGAAAGTTGTGACTGTCTCGGAAGTTTACACGCCCCCTTCGAACATGTGGCTCCTCCGGCGATCTAGTGAGGCGTCCGGAGAGTCTCGACTGTCTTTGCCTACAACTTGGGCTCGATGACATCGTCCTGCGACATGGATCCCGTGCCCGGAAATGATTCATCGCCAGCGAACTTCCTAGACAAGGGTGGCGAACGTCAGTGGCGGCACACTTTCAATCTAGCGAGAAACGGTTCCATCGGCGAAGACTGGACTGGTAGACGCGTGAATGTCTCCATCCCGTCTTTCCGCATAGACAACACCAACAGCATCATTGCAAACGATTGCATGGCGTACTGAACACCAGCAGAGATAAAAAAAAAAGAGGAGGAGATGAAAGTTGACGTACCATCCACGCTCTTCGCCCCCACTCAGAAAGCTGCAATCGCTATTCTTCTCGCATATCCAATTGCCCACTATGTCTCGGCGGTCAGCACGGTCCTCGTCACCTTGCCTCGAGTCTCTCAACAGTCTTTTAGACTTGCAGATTCGCCACTACGTGAAAGAAAGAAGACAGGGAGAGAGAAAAATCTTCCAGACTGACCAGTATCCGGCTCGCCGTCGGAGCTTTCCTTGACGCCTCCTCCCCGCGCATACACACTCAGTCCGCAGGTGAATGCCTTGAAGTCTTCAGTGTCCATCTCGTCGGGGTATTGACCGGTCAGCACCCTTCCCAGCACAATGATGACCGCGGCGTGCGAGCAGATGACGACGCTCCGCCGCCCTTCCTCATCACACCGCCGGATCAGCGCGCTCATGGCCGCGCGCACCCGCGCCACCAGCTGCGCGTACGTCTCCCCCCGCTCACGCGGCTGCACCGGGGATACATACTCGGTGTCGTATGCCGGAAATAGGCTGCGGAGCTCGGTGGCGTTGGCCGGCCGCGGGTGCGCAAACGGCGCGGCGCCGAACCACTC